CGTGCGTCAGTCTGTTTACACGTGCGGGTGTTCAAAAGGCGAGTGACGGGCCCGTGGCTTATTTTCAAAGATTTTTCGAGATGGGAGGCAGCAAGGGCGGCGGTGGTAAGAACGGAATACCAGACAGGTAACCATTATTATTTGTTTTCATGTTTAAAGAGAAATGGGTGTATTGAGTTACGAGGGCAGGAAGAATTAACTTAGAATCCTGTACGATACAGGTAATAACCATAACATTGTCGTCATACTGAAGCATTAAAGGCCTGGTAATTTGTCGGAATACCTTCACATAACTAATCATGACGATTTTTGTAGCGGTAGATTCCTCTCACTCTACCATCGAAATATATCGAAATATTCTGTGTAAACCCTCCTCAACACTTACAATCTTGGCCCTGACAGCAGGGGAGGGCATGGATGTTACTAGCGAAATTATGGAGTAAATTACAATAGATATATAAAGAATTGGTTAATTTATATTCAGATGAAGGGTTTTTTCCCCTCAGCAAACCCCCACCCCTTGCCCCGGATAACAAAGAATCCATTGCGTATGAATGGCAGAATAGAGCAAAGGACAGATTCAGCACTGGGTGCTCCTGCGGTAAATTTACAGCGGATAACAATCAGGGTTACAGTAAAAAAAAAAAGTGTATGGAATGATTATCTTAATGTAAACTATGACATTTTTCATCTATGGCATGAGGTACACAAATCAAAAATAAAGGAGATACGTGACAGAGAAAAGAGAAGATCGACCCATCGTTTTCTAAGTCCCATGCCTTTTTAACCCAGTGCTGACGGGTAAAAATGTTTGGCTAATGGACATAAGAATGGGATTGATGGTACGCATTGGCAGTTTCCCCTGTTTACGTCCGACTCGATTGGCAGTTTGCAAGTGACATTTGGCATCTAAAAGCTAATATTTTACTAAATTTATAGAAATATTATAATTTTGAAGGTTTACCTTCATTATAGGTGCCATTGCCTAAAATCTTTACCATATAAATGAAGCTGCTACTATCAGAGAAAAACAAACTTCGTCCGACAAGCCAGTGGCGCGGGAATGGGCATGATACGATGCCATCCGTTTTTCGGTCCTCAACAGCCATGGCATGTATGTACATGCCACCCGTCGGCTACAGGTTAACCAACATTTCTACCACTCTTCTAAAAAAATTGCAACTTCATACTATTTAATTAATAGTCAGTAAAGTAAAAAAAAAAAAAAAATTAATGCAATATGATGTGCACATGATATAGAGGCTGTGTGTGTTGGGACATCAACTGCAAAGCAGAGTTATCAGTTTAGCAAGAATGAGAGCTCAGGAGACACAGCCTTCTATTTAGTAACTGATTATGTTTACCCCGCAATTTCCCTGGTTTTTCTCATGCCCTCCTCTGCTATTTGGGCCAAGATTGTGGTTTTTGTTACCATGAGCAACATACGCTCTCGTGACTAAGTTATAAAACCTGGGTATCATGCGAACCCAAAAAACCAAACCTAAGTTTTCCTATCTTCTATTTATTTCCTATACAGGGGGGCAACCCCCTTGTACCCCCCTTTATTAGTACTTCATGCTAACTTATAGAAAACACAACATTAAGTACTCTGGCTCTGTGGGGGATTTTGTGGACCTTGACTCCAAGCAGTTTTATACAACAAATATTATTGTCATTTTACAGTAAATATAAGGCTAAAGTAGCTGTACCTATGTTTATGACTCTTATGCTCTGTGTGTCGCTCTTGGTAACATTAACCAAGATTGTTGCAAATAGGGGTTTCTGCCACATAATTTCAATGTATTTGTATAGTAGAGGCAGAGGAATCTTTTGATACCAAAATTGTTGCAATCGGTTATGTAAAGGTTTTCCAAACAATTAGTAAGATTTTTTTTTTTTTTTTTTTTTTTTTTTTTTTTTTTTTTAATTATTACCTATCACAAAGTGAATGTGAACTCGTTTGAAATCCTCAAATTGATAGCTTTTATTTTTAACTATGTATAATTCAAAGTTGGTCCCATATCCATCTGGACGTAAGGGAAATGTTTTGTAGAGAAACATGCATACTAATTTGCGGGATGATGCAGTAGGGTTGCTGGTTCCTCTCCACCCCGACTTTGACCCTAGCGTGCTGACATCAGCATACCAGTCCTTATTCACAGCTGAGTCAACTGAGAGGAGCAGCCGGGTGCGAACCCAGGACCATGCAATTGCAAAGCCAGCACTCTACCACTGAGCTATGCTATGTGTAATTACTAGTGTAATAAGAACCTTTGAATTAGGATTTACTTGAATACTTATTTACATTTTACAGAAAAAAACAACTCAAAAATACCCAATTTTCTTGTCACTCAATTTAAGATTGTGTGTCTGAAAGAATTGCTCTTAGTCAACACAGGTTGGCTCACCTTATACAACTACATACAAATGTCAGATGAGACAATATAATGTACAAAATTCAGTTGGCAATTTATGTGTTGTGCATTCTGCCTTTGGCTGCACATACAATAATATGGCATTTACTTTTGTAGAAGGTTAAGATATGTATGTTATAATAGGGTAAGTATAGTTTCAGTTTTACACATTCGTATGGTACAAGGTAAACTTTTCCTGTATTGGAAAGAATGAATGAAAGTACCACACTTTTCATCTCTGGGATTTCCTATGCAATCTGGTAATAAGAGTTGTGCAACACTTAATACTTTTGTATACTCTTATAGGAAAATGTAATGAAACTATCATAAATAAAGGGAATGCCTGCAGTTTCTGATACGTGAAATAATCTGAATAGATAAAAAAAAAAAAAATAAATAATGAATAAAAAAATAAATAAATGGGGTAATTTTTTACAGTATAGATGCAATTGTCAGATTCAGCAATTTTAGATGAAGTGACTGGGTGTGCCAGACTGCCTGAAGGGAAGGTTGATGGAGTGCTCTGCCTCCTATACCACCTGGGAAACACTGTCTTCACCTCAGTAGACCTATGCATGGCAAGATAGAGCTGAAACTTTGGAGCTCTGAGTGGAATTAAGCTGTGATCAGCACTTACCTTGATTTTTTTCCTTTATTTGTGGCGTCACTGTTTGTGTCTGCAGACTATTACTTGTACTGATAACTGCAACTTTTAATCCTCTTCAATTTGCTCTACCTTTGTACATCCATTCTGTAAAGATTAACCAAAAATATCATAATTGAAGAAAATGGGTTGTAACCAATGCCATGAGGATAACAAGCCCATGGCAATCAGGGGATATACAGCAATTGAGTAGGGGTCTGGGGACAAAACTTTGGGTTTATATGGCGATGTTTGTGGATTACCCCAGAGTGGCAGGAGGAATAGGGACTTATGGTTGTATGCCTAAAGAAATTGTGTAACAAATCAGTTCTTGACATTTTCTTATGCTAGTTTCTTCACGATTGTAGGAAGTGTTAACATAATTTTTTTTGACTGTGTTTCAAAAATACCTCTTGTCTGATTTTGGTATAACAATTGATTTTTTGCAGTATTCCTTTGTATATGATTTTGTGCTTTGAAGAGTGGATTTCACAATTTCTTTAAGCATACGACCGTCACTCTCATGGGTGTGTGATCACCTTGTAAACAATACTAGTGTGTTCATTTATATCATTTGTAATGGAAAATAACAAGAGATTTATGTATTTTACAGTGTGAATAATTGAAACAGAATAATTAGAAGCACCTCTCTCTCAAGTACATGTGACATCCATAAACATAATTTTCTTGGTAGGGGTAATAGAGGTATAATGGTAATAGTTACCCTGCAGTAGGGTTAACTATGCAATCATTAAAAGAATTTGTGAACATGGATCATGATATAGATCTCCACCAAACTTTAATGGCATCTAAGTTAGGCTAAGACACACACCTGGGTAAATCTGTTCCTAACTTTTGTAATTATCCTGCAAACCAAACCAACTACCTAACTAAACAACTAGCTAATTAACCAACGCTACCAAAAACATAACCTTGGTGGAGATAATGATTGTATGGTTATGTGGCTGTGTGAAACAAAAAAAGATTGCCATAGGTTGATGAATTCAAATACAAGTTTTCATAAATCTGTTGTATCCATATTCTGTTTAGATTAAAAGGTAATTCTTGACATGGAGTATGGATGCAGTCACATACTCCATGTCAAAAAAATTATTCAGTGATCCAGGGTGCCATGATTAGGCCTGCCCTTTAGGCACTGCCCAAGGGAGCACCGAGTGGACTTAGGCTGCAATAACCATATGCTAATGGAAACTGTGTAACACACATCAGTTCTTAATTTTCTTAATTTTGAATTTGCTATGCTAGAATCTTCATGATTGGAGGAAGTCTTAATGTAACTTTAGGGCTCTTATCCTCATGTAATTTTGATATACCAGTTGATTTTTTGCCATATTATTCCTTGGCAAAGGATTTTGTGCTTCAAATTTCTTTAAGCATGCGATTGTAAGTGGTACTTTCCATAATATTTTTCCTTAATTTTTGTGCCTTTTTATTGTGTCTACAGATTATTTCTCGTACCAACAACTGCAAGTCTTTGTCCTCTGCAAGAATGTCATCTTTATTTTGGCCTAACCAAGACTTAAAGATTAAGTGATAACAACACAGGTTATATATTTTTTTAGATTATATATTCTCATTCTGTATGGTGTAATTTGCTGCATGACAGTTAAAAACTGAGGGCACGCACGCACCCCCCCACACACACATATATCCAACAAACAATAGTAATAATCCATTTTTTCTAATGTCTGAAACAAAGTTAGAAATATAAAAAAAAACACATATGCACACACACAAAACAAACAAACAAACCAAAGTTAAGCAAAAGTTGCAACAAACTTTCAAATGTACTCAGAATGGTTTTCTATATGAGTAAACGTTATATGCAGTCGGAGACAGCTTCATAGAGGTTTTTAAGTTGAGAACAGTATATGCCATTGAGTGCAGAATGGGATTGAAAAGGATAACTGGTATAAGTTGTGGGAGATGCTTAACAGGTTAATTGGAGTTGGTAACTTGAAGCCAGTTTGTTTAAATTGCAAGAGGCCCAACCCAATGAATGTTCATGTATTTGGACATGTTTATACACAGACATTTATGTATATCTGTCAGTCTGTCTGGAAGATATGCAGTTACCTATCTACTAGATATGCATATGGAGAGTGATAAATATGCATTAATTATTGTGTAGATGCATGTCTATTTGTATGAATGTTCATTGGGTTGGGTCTCACAATTTTAACGAAGTGGTTGTTAGTCTCTTTCTGATCCAATCCAATTGTAAACTTTTACCATTGTTTCTTTTGTGAGAGATGACCATAAGAAAATATGAATATATTAGTCTCTCCTGTCAGTGTACATTGTAATTTGGACTTGCTATGATCTGTGATGGAAGGTGCACAATCCTGTCTAATGCATTAGCAGTTTAGTACATTGCAATTGTCTCATCTGCTGGCCTTTCAGGAAAGGCAACAAAATTCTACCACATACCTTTTGGCCAGATACAATTTCGACCAGTTCTTATTTGGCAATACATCACCAGTATTTATGTGGTAGAAGTTCATTGGCCCGTATTGCAATGCCATTGAAGGACCCACTTCAGAGGAACAAAGGAATAAACCACATCCTAAACATATATACCACCACTAGCCAAAAACCCTCTTAATCTGGGGGTTCTGCCCTTGGACCCCTTTCCAGTCATCATTTTTCCTTAGCCAATGCTGTCTTTTTGTATGATTTAGCCCCAATGTGCAGAGCCCAGTGATAGATACATGGATGTTTAATGTTTTATCAAAGATAAATCATCAAATGCACTTACAAGCCTCAGTGAATTACCTTCTCATATTGACCCTTAGAACCATGAGCAGCTGATGTATTAGCTGATTTTAGGCAGATGATGGCTTTTTTCATAGCCGTAAAGGAAGTATATAGTAATGCTGTTAAGCACAAAAAATTATATACGGTCACAGTATGCCTACTCGACGAATAGAGGAAAGTCATCATCACTCAGTACTTTTTTTCCAGTTATTGTTTACTATTGGACCATGATTGATGTGTGACCTGACATACATATTTAGCACCCTCCACTTCCAAGATCATTCACTGATATCAATGTTTGAACAGCCAGTATTGACTCACATCTGCACCCCTATGATTTGAAGTCCCTATATTTCAGTCCACAAGCTTGAGGGTCATCTTTGGAATCCAGAAACCTTCCTAACCCCACCTGAATACTGTATTTTACATAGGCTGTTTGAAATGAAGAAATGCATCAAAAGTACAGGGCCTTCTTAAAAGATTGACTGAGTGTGACTTTCCGACATAAGTGTAATTGGCAAAAGGTGGGAAAATTAGTAAACATATTAATATATATTTTTCAAAATCCAACCATACTTTTATATTAACCCATTGATACCAGGCATTATTTTTTTTTTTTTTAGTTTCTTTTATGCATAAGTGGCTAATGAAGCAATTTGTCAACAAAGAGTCTGTTCTTAGGCCTATCAGTTACACCTGTTTACCCCATAGCATTAATATTCTGTTATTGTTATTGTTTTTATTTTTGGTTATTGTTGTTGTTATTGTTATTATTTCATTATTACTATTATTATTTAGTTATTATTATCATTATTATTATTATTATTATCAGTGTTATTGTGATTATTGTTGTTATTATTAATTATTGTTGTTATTATTATTATTATTATTATTATTATTGTTGTTGTTGTTGTTGTTGTTATTACTATTATCATTATTATTATTATTATAGCTTTAATAATAATAATAAAAATCCAAGTAATAGGTTATTTAGGCTAGGTGATGTTCATTTTAACATGGTGGCAGAACCCTTGGTGATTAAAGCTGTGGTTCAGCCAGTTTTATCTGTGTCTGGAACCAGTCTTTGTAATATAAAAATAGGCCACCTGTGACATTTTGCAGGCTTTGGTAATTTTTTTTCTTTTCTTTTTCTTCTTCTCTGTAATAAATCTTCGAACACAAACTTCAAGGCTTTTGAGATGTCAAGTAATGTATCACAGAAATGTTTACCTTCTTGTGCGTGCAACATTTCACACGTCTTGGGTCATTTAAGTTTGTGTGGAGATGTGTGTGTGTGTGTGATTGTATGCCTCATGTTACAAAGTTTGCTAGAACTAAACTTAAGTCCAAAATTATAGCAATTTTGGTCAGGGTAAGCTGTGCTATCTGAGGGACTAGAAAAGGCAGACCTAGGACAGTCTTTTCCCTTATCCTGCTCATTTCTTCATGGGTAGTGATGGTTCATAGTCTATGACCCCCTCAGAAGTTAGTTAAGCATTATTATGAACTTCTGACATTATTACAAACATTTTGAAGTCCACTTGGAAGCACAAAGGTTCACTCTAATGTAACAAAAAAGGGAGACTGAGCAGCCAGAGGTGGTTCCTATACAAGCACTCTGCTCTCAGGATAATGGGTCCCAGGCTTAAGCACTTCTGGAGCCAG